GCACATCTTTCTTTTGTTCACCTCATTTAGACCACAAATATTAATTACGTTAATTAGTAGACCCTATAAAGTACAAAGCAAGTTTCTTCCATATCAAGTTAAGCTAGTTGTTTTTAATTTCGTAGTGAATAATTAAAAAAACATGATTGACAATAATTGGTGCGCATAGATGGTTTAAATATAGCCATACTTTGTCATTGCATTGAATCTAGAATATCACATAACTTTATACTAGTACTACATAAATACTACTATCAATATTAATTATTGTAAGAACTTTGGCACACAAACCATACCTAAAAACATGTAATTGGACATGACTAACCAAGTTATTTTCTAATTGCTAGTTGTTTTTCTCCAATAAAAACTAAAATTTAGACTGTTGATTATACAAGATATTAAAGAGTAAGAATTTCATATTAACCGCATATCAAAGTATCTCATAAAAACTAAAATTTAGATTACTAATTATACAAGAGATTAGAGAGCGAGAATTTCATATTAAATTGCATATTAAAATGTCCCATTATTGAATAGCTCAATGAGAAGTCTTATCTGTTTACACAAAAATAAAGTTATATTATGACATAATAAATTAACGAATAATAAAGGTACGATCTTAATTAGTTTTAGGACTTAATGTGATCCTTATCCTTATGTTCTAGGGTAAGGTCTTAACCCACTATTTTAATTTGCCCAAAAGCTAATTCCATTCATAATTTTTTAATAAAAAGGCATATTTATTTTGGTTACTTAGAAGAAAAAATAATCACAACTTGGGCTGGAAGCCACGTATAGAATTATTGAATTTAACGTGAATGAGTCCAAAATATAATAAATGGTACCTAAAACACGCAAAAGCATATACTAATAACTTTGTGCTGAATCGTGATGTCATATCCCTAACCACCACTGCAAGAATCGCCTAAGTTATGCCAGCACTCCATTCAAATGGACAAACACAATTTTAACACCTGCCCCCGCCTCCAACCCAAATTTCAAACCCCTCAAGTCAATTATTATATAACTATAAATTTCTTTTGCTTTGTTCCATGTTATACGCATCGCCAGCTTTCTCGTTCACGGATTACATGTTGTATGATAATGTTTGTTCACCAGTTAACCATACAAGCATTAAATTTATTGAAAAATAAATGTTATTGTGTAAATTAAGTTTAAATGATGAATAATAATAAATGGAATGAAAATTTAGAAATAAAATTTTAAATCAATGATTTGATATAATTCACGTTATTTAAAACATTTAAGTATAAATTTTATATTATTTAATAGTTGATTTTTTTTAATATTTATAATATTATATGTATCAACTAATTTAATGATATAATATGCATCATATTATTAGTTTTACATTTTTACTCAAATTTTCATTTTCCTTATCATTACTCTTAAATTATAAATTTTGAAACCCTTAAATTATAAGTTTTGAAACTAACACTTAAAAAATTATTTTTTAAAAATAATTTCAAAATCTACCATATATAAATCTAAAACCCTAATGAGAAAGGGGGCGGGAGCTTTCCCACTCCGACTCTAAATAGTTTTTTTTTCTAAAGGAGACTTGGGAGAGTTTTTCCATATTTGCCTCCAATTAAGTTTCCTATAATAATTGGACTTCCCAATCATTCTTGATTTAGACGTATGTACACCCTCTTTCTCTATATATATGTATTGGATTCCCCAGCAATGCCTTGCTTTAGTCCGCTGCGAAAGATCTCCTTTCTTCCTAAGGGTGAAGAATTACGGGGAAATTTAATTAGCGTAAAACATGGCTCTGAGATGGCTTGTTCATTCAGCATGCCATGTTTTGGGGCACCCCAACAATAATATTGAAGATGGCCATGGAGACATGATGATCAAGAAGTTGAAGATTGGGGAAGATTGCATGGATATGTATCCGTCTGGTTTTCAGATGCCTCTTCATTACCCTCGTTACACCAAGGCCGATTATGAGAAGATGGAGGAGTGGAAGGTGGACTTGCTCCTCAGGCAATACGGTCTCAATTTCAAGGCCGCCCTTGATGAGAAGAGAGCTTTTGCCATGGGAGCATTCCTTTGGCCTGACCAGTATTAATCAGCTTCGAATTCCGGAGTTGGATCGATGCTACAAGCCTGCAACATATATATCCTTAGTATTCAATAATCCAGTGGGCATACATAAAATGTACTTGATACATATGCATAAGTTTTTATGACCTATGATAGTTATTATATATTGTATATACGTATCGGCATGTTTTTTCTTTTTGAGAAAATTAAATATGATTCTCAATCAGATATGAGTTTTGTTAATTTGGTATAAGATTGGTGTTGCTGCAAATTGCAGGAGGTAGGTCTACTAAGGGCCTAAGGCCTAAACAATTTCCTGCATACTAATTTCTATGGTAATTCAATTATGGTAAGTTGCAAGTTTTTTGTTTGCTGGTTTAATTTTGGGAAAGCTAATTTGGGTTTTTAATTTATTTAACACTTAATTCCCAAATATTAAAAACATAGAAACTTATGAACATGGAAGAGGAGGAAGAAAACCCAGAAAGCCAGAAAGCAGATTCCCTGGTTCTTGTCGAGCTTCCAAATTACACAGGAATATATTAAGAAAAGTTTTCTAACTAAGATGTCCAATGAATTGTGCGGTGTATTGGTAGAATATTGCTTTTGAACAAAGTTAACGAATTTTGCCATAACCATTATTCACCAGCTGGACCCCTTAAATACTTTCTGGAACCTGGACATTCATTCAAGGATGGTAAAATAAATCCTCAACATACAATATGGACTCAATGATGTACTACCATGATGGATAGCCTAGAAACTTCAAAGCAAAAGCGGTTCTGTTCATGCCTTGTATATCTAATTTCCCCTGGTCTCATCTTGATCAGTTTGACTCACTTTAATTCTTAGGTCATGCTGCTGCCCATAATTGTATGGAAACTTCTGTGCTTTTTCCCTTAGTTGATTCAATCTCCATGGCTATTTTTGTAATTTCATTATGACATAACCCATTCTAGTCCCACTATATATAACAAGGGGGAGCATTATGTTCACTCAGACACCAAATTTTCAAGCATTGTTACCCCAACCTACCCACAGGCAAGGACACCCTTATCCTAAATATGGATATTGAGGACTACAAATACCAAATATCATCCCTTTTCCTTAAAAGAATTCTGCAGCTCATTGTCTCAATTGCTTTGTTTTCAATCTTTCTTTGTTACTCTTCTGGATTCTCTTGGTTTCCCCAGTCCTTCAATGTTTACTTCTCCACATATCTGTTCTCCTTCTTTACTCACACCCTTGAGAGGAAGTACATGTTTCTTATGTGCAATGGAATCGTAGCTATTCTTGCCAAAAGCAACATTTCTTCTAGTTCTTCACATTCAGAGTCATCTGATGAGAATTATCTCGGTGAAAGGGTATCAATATCATCATCATCAAACTTCATCCAAACGAAACCATCGCTTGCTGAGGAAGAGCTCATGGCAACGCCTGAAGAAGAAGAAGAACAAGAAGATGACATAAATGGAGAAGCAGAAGAACTAGAAAGTGAACCTTTGCATGTAGAAGAAGAAGAAGAAAGTGAAGCGTCTGTTGTTGTTGAAGATGATGAAGGAGAGAGTCAGTCTTTGGTGAAGGAAGAAGAGCCAGCAGAAGAAGCAGCAGCAGCAACAACTGCAAATGAAGATGGACCGAGCACCGACGAATTAAACAGAAAAATTGAAGAGTTTATAAGGAAAATGAAGGAAGAAATCAGGATTGAAGCTCAACAACAACTCATTGCAGCAGCGTAATTAAGTACTTATGCATGTTTCCAAAGAGTAAATTAAACCTCAGGTCCAGTGCTTTGGTCTCTTTTACGATGACTAAAAGCGCCAATGTTTTAGCCCTTCTCAATTAGGTCCTTTTTCACTGTTGTTTGTTTGTACTTTGTTTTTTTCTCTTTCAGCCTGTTACACCCAAGTTTTTTCTCCTCCATTGTAAACATCAAGAAGTGTTCCTTCCTTTCTCAGTTCTTCCCATCATTTCAGATATTTTTCTTCTTCTTGTTGTTGTAATTTCCAAATCGTGATAAGACTGCAAATTCAGATGGACATATGAGAAAGAACATGAAGAACATCGGATAAATTAAACAATAGGAGACTCAGGAGAAAGATTATGAAACAGTGGTATTCTGGTGGTTTAATTTATGGTTGAATTTGGAAGAAAATACTAGAAAAGACAATGATATACGTGGAAAAACAGGACAAGTCAGAGGCATGAAAATTAGTTTAACATTCAAAATAAGAAATGGCTATGGAATTTTTTTTTTTTATGATTAAAAAACAGTAGCAACCACCCTTTTTTGTTGACAATAAATACCCACAACATAACAAAACAGAAGTTTTTTATGGGTTCGTTTATCTGGGTGGGATGCGTGAATCAATATTCATCCTTTCCCTTGTTGACATGAGATTGTTGTGATGAATTGTTGTTAACAAATCACTGCTGCTTAACAAAAGCAATCTAACAGTTACAAACTATAGGGGTGTATGGTCATAGGGAAAAAGAAAATTCAACTCCTCAAAGGTTGATGAATTTTTATTATCTGAAAAATCTCTGCAGAATGTATACTAGCCAGCCAAACCCATTGATAATCATAAATTTCAATCAAGGATGAGATTTTTAACAATCACATGATCCAGAAAAACCCACAAAGATTATGATTTTATTTTGAATTGACAAAGGAAAGCCTAGATTTTAATCCATATGCAGGAAGAAAAAAATGTCTAATAAGCCTTTTAATCTTTTGGTTTTCCTTAATCAACCCCTTCATTTCCTGTAAGATCCTTTAACCCATCATTCCTAGTGTAGACAACCAAAAGATCACAAAAACAACTTTCCACGTGCTTCCATTTCCTTGGAGCTGAACATCCTAGATGGTGACCGCCATATCATCATCCCAAGTTAAGCTTATCCATCTGCCTCCATGATGTGGTTGCTTAAACTAAACCAAGAGAATTATTGAAATATTTGATTAAACTGAATTGGTGAAAACAAAGAGTCAAAGACATTAAATTTCAATTATGGACTGGGACAGCATAGAGGTATTGCTCATTTGTCATCATCTACTTTGTACAGTATAGAAACCGACCCATCGATGAAGTTCTTACACTCAAGTGGCAGAAGCATGCAGCTTTCATTTTCGTTTTAACTTATTGTATTGTATTATAGATGAATATCATGGACAAGGTCACTTCCCAGGGACCCTCTCCTGAATGAAGATTCAAATTGAATCAATCATGTTGAATTCCATACCTGAAAGGGCAGATCTGTTTCCAGGGAGAGATCTAGAAGGGATTGCTGAGTGGTGAGGATTGATGAGAAGCACTGCAACTTAAAGAACCCAGTTCCATCTGTCTCCAGGTTAAGACAAAATAGTCAGTCCCCAAATAATTGTCAATAATTGTACCAAGGAGCAGTTCAACAAACAATCTAGGAAACAAATTACTTTTGAAAGACTAAATTATTTTGAGAGGACCAAAATGGTATAATTTAGTAATACTTATCTACCACCTTGAGAGATGCACCAGGCATGTTAATGTGCGTCTAGCAAATACCACCTGAGGGCTATCTCTCAACTTGAAACACTCAAACCAGAAATGATTTAATTCATGTTAAATCCCACCAAGGGTTCAAGACGGAGCCTCGAGAAAGAGAATGACTTATCGATCAGCATCAATAGATAACAAACCTAGATCTACAGTAGTCTTCACCCCAAGCTCTGCATGGGACATGATGCAGATTTTGCAGCAGCAAGATTGCAAATTACAATCTCTCAAACAATAAGTTCCAAAATAGTTCCTCTCTCAATCTTCGTTGATATAACATATTGTAAGTGTATGTCTTATTGCCTTGGCTTCAATTAGCTCCAAAATGCAAATCAAATGCAAATTTGATCATTTTTAAACCTGTCCAGTACCTATTTTCTGTCATATGCTATTAAATGAAAATATCAAGATATAAAAGGCAAGGCAAGAACCCAGAATCCCTCAGCACATGAAATGAAAATATGAAACAAAACCCATTCTTTCATCATGATATCGAGAAAGCAAACAAGAAGGAAAAAGAAGGATACAGCAGAGCATGTTAAGACATTACTTTGCTTCACTATTCCAAAATGCGTGGAGTGGTGGTGAAGAAAACATTAATAAAATTTACACGGTAAAAACACCTTATGTAACGTTACATCCTTTCAGTCCAAATTCCCTTGAGATGCCTAGAAGTTATTCCTGAAGAAACCACGATAACTTGTGAAATCAGCAACCATTTGACAATATGCTCTGTGGTATCTCAATATTGACTGTCACTTCTGCTCGGAGTAATATTTCATCTGCTTGAAGGTAGAATACTGAATGCATTTGCATCTGTCCCATTTATCACCTTCCAGGCGTACTTTAACTTGCCATTACTTTCTTTCATGTTTCATTGATGAAGCACCCATTGTGCTGCTACCATGCACATCTTCAACTACACTAAACTTAACCAGTTGGGGAAAATGTAAAATCCATGGAAACTCCATCACTCTCTGGCATATCTTTAACCTCACTGAGTAGTCTTGTGAGTTCTTTGGTCAGTTCTCTACGAATATATGCCGAACGCTCTTTCGTAATTGATGATTCCATGAAAAGAGTTTCAGTTAGGGACTGAAATTCCTCAAACCATTCATCATTTTCATTATCCTGAGTAGCATGATCATCATAGAATACCAGAGAGCTTTCTCTTCTCCATCTACCAAGAAAATATTTGTCAGGAAGCTGGAAGTAGTTCTTATCTATGAATACACGAAGAGTGTGTCTGCATAATATTCCTGAAGATTCAAATTCCTTGCACGAACAGTGAATCTGCTCATCTTCCAGAATCCATATAACAAGGCACTCACCATCCATCTTCTTGAAATGGCGAACAAGATAAGATCCATCAGACATTTCTGATGCAGCATACTGCATACTTAGAACCAATTCACGTTGTAAAGCATTGAAGGCAAATGGTGTCATAATTCTACGTGAATGCTGTTCAATTGGTATGCATGTTTTCAGATGCATACACTGCATCTCTTGATGTGACTGATTCTGAATATTGGCTGATGCACTAACCTGAAAGAGTACCAAGCACAGCAACCAACAATCAGTACATCAAAAATAACTTCAAGGATTAACAGAGAATGTTTCCGATTCTAGATAAAATACCTGCTCAAAGAAGCTACGTAAACACGTTTGTGCACTCAACAGTCCTTTCAAGAATGCATCTACAGACTTTAAATAGGCTGATGTTGCCATCTGAGCCAAAAAGTAGCCTCTCACATAAGATAGTGCCCAAGATGTTCGGATAGAGTAGAGTAATGCAATATGTTTATCTGAACTAAGCCCAAACATTGAAATGAGTTGATTCCATCGCATCTCAAAGTCCTCTGTAGTCTCCACACGATACAATGCATCAAACTCTGATTTAAATTCTGGATATTGAGATCCAAGTTGAAGAGAGAACCAACTAGATACCTTGGGTAGAATGTTCCATATGGAGGTAACATGTTTGGTGCTTGGCAGTTCACTTCTTATGGCATCTCTTAGCCCTGGATCAAGATCAGTTACAATTGTCTCCGGGCACCTTCCTTTCATAAAGCGAATAAAAGTCTGCATTAAAGGGTAAAAGTACCAATAATGAAAAGAAGACACATGGAAACATGAGCAAAACCAACACAGAGGATTACAGTAGTGAACCTGTAAAGCCCATGCAAAAGACCGGGGTGTTTCATCCTGCAATAAGACACAACCAAAGAAAATTGGTCTGCCATGGCTGTCAATTCCAAGCCATGCCCCAAAAAGCATACCATAAGTAATTGATCGATAAGTAGTGTCAAAATAAACCACATCACCAAACATGGCATTTGCAGAAACCGATTCACCATATGACCATGCAATATTCTCAACCTTATCATTCTCATCTACTGAAAAACCATACAGGAAGTTTTCATCTGCCTCCTTTGTAGCCTTGCATGCCTCAAGAAGTTCCAATGTATCATTTTCTCTTTTCTCAGTGAGCAAAGCGTCATTTTCTTGAACCACTTTCTTGCGGTTTTGAACAAAATTCCTCACATCCCTCTCCAGAAAAGGCAATTGCCCACCTTGAATCCCCTTTTCCAACTCCAGCACCTTAACTATTCTATGTATAGGGAACCCAGCTTTGGAAAGCAAGAGAATTCTCTCTTGATCTGCCTCCTGAATTTTCCTATACGCAGGCAGGAGACGAACTTGGTCATCTTCCAAAAGCTCATGATTATGAACATTACTGAATTGCACAACAAACCACTGAGAAACCCCATCAATTACTTCTTTTGACAGATACATCTTTGCATCACATCCGCACCGCACAGATTTCCTGTCTCTATGGTGCTCCCCAGACGGCTTTTTCCTCACAGGTGCAAAACCAGAACGATAACAAACAAAATCACGTTTATAAATCCCCAGTTGGGGACTCAATCTGGATCTCTCTTTCCTAATTGAGAACCCATTTTTCCTAGCAAAATTCCCATAATACTCAAAGGCATCATCATCACTCTTAAACACCATCCCAACATAAGGAGCAACCATAGCTTCAGACTGAGCAGTTTCATCTTTAGCCAATTGGGATGCTATGGATGTTTCCTCAGCATGTCCTTCATATATCAAGTAACATTTCCAATCCCCACAAGGGCATTGCTGCCTCTTTATCCATATGTTCTTAGATGGTATTGAACTCATTATTCACACCTAATTGAACTATATGTACCAGAAATTAGTGTCACTGATTTGCTCACTCCACAGCTTACAGCACAAACCCTTCAAGAAGCAAGAATTGAAGTATTCTTAAGAAGGGTTATCCTTAGAAAGATCAAAAAATTACAAAAAATTGTAAATTTACTAATTTTAGAAAGATGCATCTCTATTCTTAGAAAGAACATACAATTTTGTCATTTGTGCCTGAGTTAAAGTGAAGATGGCGAACCCCAGATTATGCAACGTAAATGGCAAAAAGACTTGAACTTGAATGGCCAAAAACTTACTAGTTAAGCAGTAATAATTAACGCACCCGTGGAAATATTGAAGAGCTTAAAGTTAAACCCTTGTTCTTTCTTCTTCTTCTTCTTCTTCTTCTTCGTTTCCTGCTCTATTTCAGTCTATTCTTTCCCTTTTTTTCCCTCGTTTCTGAAGATTCCACGTAGTTTCTCCGAATATGGAAACCCACAAGATAGGGCCTGATTACATTGGGCCTACAAGGCTCGACAAAATCATTAATGGGCTGTGTGAGATGTTCAAAATTGAAACCCAAAAGTGAAAACCATGGACTGCCTCTCAATTTATTTGTTATTGACTATTGAGACCGTATGTTCTGTTTAGTGGCAAATAGATCCTTAGACTTCTCATGTTATAAAAATTGGCTCAAGGAGGAGATGATGGTCAAAGCGTGCTACCGGGACTGACAGACCTTTCTACGCCTCATGCTAACAATGGAATTTTTCTCGAAGAGCATGGAGAGAAACCTGATGAGTGAAAGATTTTCCTCTTATCTCTCAATATGTTAGATAAAAAGTTTCATCTCCCCATAAGATAAGCCTGAGATTTAACATGGCCCAAGTGGCACATGACCTTGCAATCTTCTTCTTCTTCTTCTTCTTTTGCCAATTTTAGCAACTCAAGAATCTAGGTGCTTAATTGCCACCAAAATAAATATAAAGGTTCAATTACCCATAAAAATATATTGCAAAAAAAGATAATTTTTGTACGAAGGTAATGAAACTCTTATTATTCAAAAATCATATTAAATTTTAATTAATTCGAAATCGAATTAAATCAGACCCATGAGAAGAATTTTCCCAACACCTATTTATTTATTAAAAAACTCAAATTTGAAACTTTATTTAACTGAAATTCAACTTTTTTTCACTTAAATTAACAAGTTATAAAATTCTTTTTTTATATGTATGACAAAATGTTCCTAATACATGTCAGACAAAATTTTTTTTTATCAAGATTGAAGAAGGGCACTCCTGGCATTTTACTCTACATTAGTACAAACTACAATGTATGATTTTCCATTTTCATGTACCCAAAAAAGGATAGTATGATTTTTTACCTTTGGGGAAGCTGTGATTGGGCTTGCTTTTTGACCTACAATGTGGTCATGTCAAATGTGGGTCTTAAACTAATCCCAACATTGTTCATTTTATTGATATTCAAAAAAAAAAAAAAAAGGGGGGGGGGGGGGGTGTGGGGACACTGTTCAAACGGTGGGTAGCAAGACACTTGGAGAATGTAGCGTAAGAATGCTTTTGATCCCTTACTTCACCTTTCTAATCCTTTGCCTTTTATTCTTTACCAAGATTAGTAGACGGTTTCCATGACCCTGTCTATCTTTGAGCTCTTCAATGGGGTCTGCAACATCTGCTGTTCGCTTATAAGCTCCAACCACAGAAATTGTCTTCATCAGGTAAGACAAATATATAATTTTTTTCTGCAGACACCCTGTTTGGCTTTCTGTTAATTTGCATGCTTCAACTCATCAATGGCCCCATGAAATGATTAATAAATTCTGCATTTTAGGCTACACTTTCATTGCAAGGATCTTTTGTTTTGCATGGTCCTTAATGATGCAGTTGAAGAAGAAAGGTTCATATAATCATTGATCTGCAAATTTTTAATCAGGCGATGGCCAAATTAATGTATAATCAAGGAATCCTATCCAAGGATTATGGTTTAGTTTTATTCTTTTAAAGAAAGCAATTATTTTCCAGCTTAACAATCTTGTACTAAATGTAGTCAACGATAAAATACAACGAAAATGATTCATTGACAACGTTTTTGAAGACAAATCCTGACAACATGACTTGTCAATAGTTTTTATTGGCTCTTTTCACTAGATGAGAGATCTAGGTATGTGTCAACTTGTTTGATGCCATTTGACTGTTGTGAGGGTTTGTTGTCAACAAACATTGTCAATGAATCGTTGTCAATAATTTGACCCTTTCAGTGCAGAAGGACTAAAATGATACAGTCAAGGACATGCTTCTCACAGGTCACAGCTTTCAATGTGTCTCATGATCTAGCAATTTCATGCTGAGTTTTCTCTTTAAGTCCAAACTTGATAAAAAATTAATATATTTTTTGGGAAACTAATATGGTTTATCCTGGCTCATATTGGTATATAATTGGTATATAAGTGCTTTAGGACAAGCGAAACCTGAAATAGTGATTAACATGAATGCTTGGAGGTGAAGCTTTGTTGGGTAACCATACTGAAAAAAGGGTTTGTACAATTTGCCCATTTTTGCCTAACTTAAGGTTATATAAAGGAACACTGTTACTGATAGTGAGTGTTGAATACCATAGTGTTTTAAATGAGTTGCAAAGAAAGCAAACATATTCTTAATAGCTGTGAGTATTCACTGTCCTTTTGCTGCATAACACAGGACTTGAATTATTTGGAACTTGACTTAATATTGTGATGGCTAAGGATGAGATTAGCCAGTCTTTGCTTTTGGATGTGAAAGATTCCTCATTGGATTTCATCAAGAAGGAAGTCTTCCTAAGAAAGAAGCATAGGCATTATGCTAGCGCTCCTCTAATCGATGAAGGATCTAAGGAGAGAAGCGGTATTCTGTCTTTTATAAATTTGGAATCAATATTAGCACAACAGAGTTCTAGGCATGTGTTCTTTTTATTAGCTGCATATCTGGGTATAGGCACCCTTTGTTTTTTCCTCATCAGAAATCAGCTTGAAGGTAAAAAACCAATTGGGGTTATTGATGCTATATACTTCTCTGTTGTGACAATGACCACTGTTGGATATGGGGATATTGTGCCCCATAGTGCCTTGGCAAAGTTACTTGCCTGTGTTTATGTCTTTGCTGGTATGCTTCTTGTTGGGCTAATTCTAGGTAAGGCAGCAGACTATATGTTGGAGAAGCAGGAAGTTCATTTGGTTAGAGCCATGAACATGAAAGCAAAGTTTGGTCAGACTGAGATTCTCAAGGAAGTTGAAATCAATAGAGTAAAATATAAATTTATTAATGCTACATTGCTTCTTTTGATGCTTATAATTATAGGTACTTTATTCTTGTGTATGGTTGAAGAAATGGACATCATTGATGCCTTTTATTGTGTTTGTTCCACCACGACTACTCTTGGCTATGGAGATAAGAGCTTCTCAACTGAAGCAGGGCGCATTTTCGCTGTTTTCTGGATATTGAGCAGTACAGTTTGTTTGGCCCAGTTCTTTCTGTACCTGGCTGAATTATACACTGGGAAAAGGCAAAGAACACTTGTTAAACGGGTTCTCACCCGTAAACTGACTTTCACAGACCTTGAGCGGGCAGACCTTGATCAAGATGACGTAGTCAGGTATGTATATAAAATCTTATTAGAAAGGAAATTTAAAGTTTGATATCAAAACATTGCTTAACTCAAGTCAGTAGCTCATGTAACTGGCTAAATTTTCATCATCTCATGTATGTTGCTGGTTTCTGTGTCACAGTCCTGCTGAGTTCATTGTATATAAGCTAAAGGAAATGGAAAAGATTACCCAGGAAGATATTATGTTATTGATGGAAAGGTTTAGAAATCTTGATGTCAATCAATCAGGAACTCTGACTGCTGCAGATTTGGTGCCATCTGAAGCTTCTTAGTTTCAGTTAGTATGTAACTGAATAGTATTCTTCAAGATGCAATGAAATTCAGAAATTGTGCTGTAACCAAGCAGGAGGTGTTGGTTCCACGCTTGTACAAATGTTGTTCGATTTCACAATTAAAGGAACATCCAATTTATAGATCTTATATTGATTAAGAGATGTTCCAAAGGAAATTTATGACCTTATTATAGCAAGAGATGTTGTTTTTTAAGATAAATGAAATTCTATTTTTACAAACTCCAATTAAGCAGGGAAAAGTAGGCATAGAAGTAGAGATCCCATTATACATCCATTTATGATTATTATTCAGGAATCTACATTTCATGACATTTGAAGATAAGAAAAATACAACTAGATGTCTTTTGAGATTGAAACCCAACTCACATTCTTCCCAGTTTCTCTACTCCAATCTCTGAGGCTCTGCGATGTGTTCGGACCGCGCAGCTGCTACATAGTCCAGGAGTCCCTCACCAGCTCCTTCACCATGAGTTTCAGTTGCAAGCTGTGAAAGACCACCAAAGGCAACCATGATCACCAGTAACACTGTTGTTGAGGCAAAAAGAGGCCAAAAGTAGGCCAAGATATTGAGGAAACGAGGGGCCGCAAAGGCTATCAAGGCAATAGTCACTGAAGCTATGATTGCTAAGGAAATCTGATGTCTATATTGGTTTAGCTTCTGTGGGATATCCATGGCTAACAAAGGGGAGAGACTAACAGGTATGGTAATCGGTTCTGTTGTGCCAATTTTACGAGGCGGGTACAGGAGGAGGAGATTCTAGTGTTTATATTTCTTGGACTTTGGTATATATGCTTTGTCCACTTCTGGCATTGGTCGGTTGCTTTGTCCCCCAAGCAAGTGGTTTGAAATTAACATCAGCACTTAGGAAAGGAATATATTCTATCTTTCCAATGTGCAATAATGAATAATTAGATATGTTATGAACCAACGAAATAAAAAATTACAATGAATATGGGCATCTTAATCATATAACATTGGGAGAGGCATCATATTCATATAACAATTAGGAAAGGTTTGGGTAATAGAAAATAGAAATACTTGAATATTACTTTATATACATTTCATGCTTCATAATTTAAATTTATTATTGTCAACAACCTAAATAATTTAATGGTTATCTCCTTCCAACAGAAATAAGAGATCCCAAGTTTAAGTCATATAACATGCGGGTGAAATAGGATAAGGGATGAGAGATGGTTACCTCTCATTATACAACCAAAATAAAAAAAAAAAATTCAAAATTATTATTTTTATGTTTTAAAAAAATTATTACTAAACTACTTAAATCATTAATAATTATATTTTAAATAGTATCCTTTTATGTAGAGAAAGGATTTCATGGAAGTATTAGTTGTTCCAAGAGGAATTACTCATGTTTCCTCTGTTTTATTCTTCTTTCTCGGATGTTGTTCAATGAAAAGCATAACTTTGTGGATTCCTCAAAGCCAAGCAACTATTCCTCCATTAAATTAAGAAGTATTATTGGCATAAATCATCCTTTTCGAAGAGACTTGTTTGGTTCATTTACCCTCTCCAGGGAATCAGGGGTATGAAATTATTCCTCTTCTCAATCGGATTGTAGTCCAGAAAGAAAGGCCTTTTGTTAGATGGGCAGGTAGCCCAACATGGGACGGGACCAGGGTAGTTTCATGGTTGAAACAAAATGGGCTTGATTTGCTGCTTAGCCCATCCGTATTGTTTAATATTTACTTTCTCCTCCGGCCTCAATACCTAAGCATCTTATGTTGCGATGTCAAGATGAAATTTGTAGGGTTTTATTATTATTATTATTATTATTATTATTACCATTATTATTATTATTTAGAGTACAAGGTAGTATATAAGTGTACACATTACAAATATTAGGACTTAAATACAATATACAAATCAAGAAAAATATGGAAAAAATACACATTTACTAGAGTTTAAATGTAATAATGTATAACTAAGACTTCAATTTTTGTTATTGGATTAAAGACATCATTCTTAATTTAAAGATATTATTTCAATTGTAATTACATCTCCATATAAAATGTATCAATTTTCAAAATGTACTATTATATTATGACTGTTACGTTTTATTAGAATTATTCATTAACACAATAAAATTTCTCATTACTTTGATAAATATTTTGAGAAAAATTTAAAAGCATATGGAGGCTCTACATATACTGTGTCTCGTGTTGCATAATATCATTTGAGAACAAAGTTAGGTCCAAACGGAAGTACATTTGACAATATTAAACATGGAATGATTTGTCTGCCTAACCCCATTAAGAAGGGAAAGTTAGGAGAAACCCCCAAGCTTGGCTTGATCCCACTTCACATCATTTTCAAGACAAAGGTTTAGCAGACAAATTCAAAGAAGTACAATAAAATCAAAAACCCATTTGACTACTTTGGTTGCATTCAGGGTTTGGTTAACAGAACTTTCTGTATTTTAAAGGGGTTTTGGGTGTTGGTGGGGATGGTAAAGTCTTCCCTTTGTTGCCTACCCAAATCCCTAATTAACATCTTGACAATTGTCAATGAAAAAATTCTTTGGAACCCCATGTAATTTTCCACTATCCCATCATCATACTTTTAAGCGAAGATGAGGGGATCTTGATTTTCCCTTGTAACATCAATATGTTTCATACACATGTATGATGAATTTGTTTGTTCTTTCAAGACACTTTAGTCTATACACATCATTTTCAAATTCATAGTCATCAACAAAATTGCTCTGTTTCAATTCAAATACAATTTGAGTGATATCTACTTGGCTCAAAATCCCCTTGGTTTAAGCAAGATTTAGCGCTTAAGCAATCAAATTGAACCAGAGCAAGAGCTGTCCATCAACAAACCCAACATACCAGGTCATGACATGAATAAAGATGTCAATAATGGATATATATTTATCCATTAAAAAAAATAATAATAATGATGGGTATATTACCTTTTTGAAAAATAATCTGCTTTTAGTTTTAAGGGTACTTTTACCATTCATATACAAAACAAAGTGATGAACCATACCATATAGAGAATGAAGAGAATTTTAATCTAATTGTGCTTATTTTAGTCCCTATGAATCGCATGGTGGGTTTGTGTCTGTCGCAACCACAAATGGCACCAACTAATACATTTCATTCGATGAATACATTTCCAATCCCGGATAGTCCAAACACAATTGTACCATTTTTTTTTTATGATGAGTTATACAAATTATTTTAAATTTTTTTTGTCAGTATTAAAGTTTTACAAATTAAAAAAACCTTGATAAAATATTATAAACATATATAAAATTTTTTGGTTGGATGTTTTGGATAGACTAGAAAAGGTTAGTAGGTTAGGTGGTAATGTTACTTTTTTTCACTTCACAAAGAAAATTTTCTCTCTGTTTTTTTTTTTTCCATGGTTTGCCAAGAAAAATTATTAAAAGCTCATAACCTCATCATAAATAATTACAACCGTTTTAGATAATCATAGGTTTCAAATTTAAAAAGGATAAATTTGTAAGGGATCGATATTGATCATGTTAGTTAATGTGTTCTCATTTAGTTAATGAAATACTTCAAAATTTTAAAATGGAGGATGATAAATGCAAATAACGGTTACCATCAAGGGGAATGAGAGAAGTGAAGAAAACCGGCACGGCCGGCTTTTGATCTGTGACTTTTGCTTGAGATTAAGGGAAAATCATCCCCTCTCTTTACGGTCAATTCCTTCTAGAAATGGACTCTTTTCAACTTGTCTAACAAAACACTCCTATATTATCCCCTAACAAACCCCAAGTCTATACTTTGTTTTGTACTTGTGTTGCATTTGGAGCAAAAGTGCAAAAAGAGAAAATGGTGGGTCATGAAGAACATGGAGGAGAAGAGCTCTCCCTGCTTCATCCCGACCCTCTTGTTTTGGAGCTCAATCGTTTGCAGAACCAACTCAAAGGTTTTATCTTCTAGCTTTTTCTGTCTTCTGATATGTTGAAAAGGCTGTCTTTGTGTTTATGTTCTTTAGTATCTGGTTCTCTTCCTATACCTTAATCTTGTGTTTTGGTCTAATAGCAGAAAGCATTGCATGTTGAGTAGCAGAATGTGAACGCATGTTGTTCAAGTTATTTTTCTCTGTTTCATTGATTTTGAAACATAATGTTTACAGTTTAAGAGGATGCAACTGTGCTATTGATACCACTGTATGACAGAATGCTGCATTTTGTTCCCTTCATGGTCCAACTAGTGTCATCAACTTATAAGCATGCAAAGCATAACACTAATGGTGATTATTTTTATACTTAATGCATGGTAGTCCTTTCTAGGGAAACAGATTATGAAGGCAGAATGCTATTATATCTCATGTGATGGTTGTTCTTCCTGCATTTTCAAGTCAAATTTGAATATAACGCGAAAAGGCTGATTATGATGATTTTTTATAACTTGTTCCAGAAAAGGATCGGGAATTAGGATCTGCTCAGGCTGATATCAAGGCTTTAAAAGCAACAGAAGTGCTAAAGGATAAGGCAATAGTAGAGGTAATAAATATCTTAATTAAAAAGACTTAACAACTATGCAAGGTGTTGTGTACCATATCATAAGATGCTTTGTAATTGCGACAGAATGAAGTTTCTTAGAGTTCTTACCTGCTATGAGATTGAAAATTCTAAAATTTCTTGTTTTTTCCTAGCTACAAAGTGAAGTCAATAAGCTGGATGAGAAGCTTACGGTCACAGAGAATCTTCTTGAACAAAAGGTGAGTTTTGGTTGTAGCTGATATTTCATTAACTCGAATTTCCTCTCTAGCTCTAGCTGTCCTTTAAGCCTTTAACTAATTGTGTCCAAATCAAATTCACTGCAGAATCTGGAAATCAAGAAACTGACAAATGAGAAGAAAGATGCATTGGCTGCACAATATGCAGCAGAAGCAACACTTAGAAGGGTGCATGCGAATCAAAAGGATGATGATGGCCTTCCTCTTGAGTCTGTCATTGCCCCTCTTGAGGCTGAGATTAAAATGTATAAAAATGAGGTATGGATGTGAAAGAATTGGATTTATTTGAAATTTGTTCTTCATTCTATTGGTACTCAATCTGCTTCCCCTCTCTTTTGGCTTTTCAGGTTGCAGCACTCCAAGAGGATAAGAAGGCATTGGAACGTCTAACTAAATCAAAAGAATCAGCACTGCTTGAAGCAGAGAAGATTCTGAAAAGTGCCCTAGAAAGAGTTTTGATAGTTGAGGATATTCAGAACCAGAACTTTGAGTTGAGGAGACAGATTGAGATTTGTCAGGCATGTTTTCACATAGATTCAATTCTGCACTTTGTTATTGAATGAGGATTATGCATTTAGAAAATCAGAATATATCTATCATATGCAGGAGGAGAACAAGATTCTTGAGAAAACGAATCGCCAAAAGGTTTTACAGGTTGAAAAACTTAGTCTGACCATCAAGGAACTTGAGGAGGCCATTTTGGCTGGTGGGGTTGCAGCAAATGCTATTCGTGACTATCGGCGACAAATTTCTGAACTTAATGTATGTATCATGCTTAAATTAGCTGTTGACATGTAGCCTTGTAATTTAAAAAGCAAAATTAATTGTCTCTATAATTCAGGAGGAGAAGAGGACCCTGGAGAGGGAATTGGCAAGAGTTAAAGTTTCAGCAAACAGAGTCGCATCAGTGGTTGCTAATGAGTGGAAGGATGAAAATGACAAAGTTATGCCTGTCAAACAATGGCTTGAGGAAAGAAGGCTACTGCAGGTAATTCTTGGAAATCCTTCTCACCCTTGTTTCTTTCATTACCAGAATAATAAGACACAAGGAGTCAAAGCATAACTTGTTTATCATTGTATTTTTGTAGGCTGAGATGCAAAGGCTGAAAGACAAACTAGCTATTTCAGAGAGAACGGCTAAGGCAGAAGCACAATTAAAGGTGAAATTTGATTTCTGGCTAATCAAATAGTTTATCTAACCTGGGTCATTGTTTGCTTCCTCTGAAGTATTGTTTTCCTCAAGCTAATGTAATTATGCATCAGGAAAAATTTATGCTGAGGCTCAAAACATTGGAAGAGGGCTTAAAACAAGTATACAGTATCTCAAGTAATCCTAATCAAGGAGATTTTGGTTCCCCAAAACCAGACAAGTCCAGCAACATCTTAGGTTTCCTAACAAGCAATGGTCGACTAAGGAAGAGGTCTACTTCACAGCCAAGGGCTTCCACAGTTGGTAGAAGCTCTTCACAGCCGCCTAGTTTACCAGCTAATCTTATCAATGATATAAAATCAGCTAATAACTTGAAAAAGAGTTATGTATCTGGAGAAAATTTGCTGAGAAAAGGATTGTGGGCATCTAGGAGTAAAGTTGTTGACAGCAGTGAGAAGGAAAATGAAGAAATGGAGGTAAACATTAATGCCAACCTTAGCAAAGATGGTGATCCAGCAGATTTGACAGAAACCAAAAGCCGAGGAGGTGGTAATGAAAATTCAGAAAATCAGGTAAATGTCACTGCTGGTACACAAGATATGGTCTCGGGGTTTTTGTATGATAGACTTCAAAAAGAGGTTCTCAATTTAAGGAAGTCTTGTGAAGCAAAAGACAATAACTTGAATACAAAAGATCAAGAAATCAAGGTGAAGCAATTGGCAATTTCAACATTCTGTCTCTATGATTTTGTGTGTTTGAGGAACTAAACAGGGTAAGATATGATTCTTTGCAGATGCTCATGAAGAAGGTTGAGGCACTGACAAGGGCCATGGAAGTAGAGTCCAGAAAAATGAAGAGGGAAGCTGCAGCTAGAGAAAAGGAAGCAGGATCAACCAGAATTGAAGATACCATAAAGACAAAAGGCACTAACTCCTTTAAAAGGTGAGTGGAATCCCTACGCTGATCTGCTTTATTCTGTGCATGCAAAATATGATGATGCTAACACGTGATTTATTTTCATTTTTAACAGAATAACAAAATTGTCTTGAAGAGATTTCTAGATGTTGGTACCTGGTGTGGAAGTTGAAGAAGAAATGGAATTCATTTGATTTTTCAATGTATATACGGACTGTTTTTTCTCATTGGGTAGCTAGTTAAATAAGGTTTCTGATTTTCTGATTGTGATTTGGGGTCCCTCACTACCTTGTAACATCTCCATGTTAATGCTCCTTTATTTTCTGCTTGTGAAGACCTGTATTCAATCAGATCCAATATATATTGTGGTTTTTTCCTCTTTTTTTTTCAATCACAATTATGGTTTGGTTAATTTGGCAGGAAAATGACGAAGGGCCATCTGAATATTTTGCTTGGGATTAAGGTATGTTTGATTTGAAAAAAATGAAGGGGAGAAATCATTTCTTTAACTAATAAAATTGTAACGCTAATTAATATTACAATCTGATTGATTCAAAATTTGATCCCTCACATCCCTACCATTGATTTCACTTTTTATATTTCTCCATAAGGAAATTGGCAGGTCCACAATGCAGGATTAAAACGTGCAGATAACAAATGTTTTTCATAAATTAATCACAGCTTACGGGTAGTTCACCGTTAATGACCTATTGGAAAATACAAGTTCAATACCATCGACACAGGCATTCCATATCAGCCTTTTTGCCAAAAGGAATGGAGTGACTAATGGCGTCAGAACAAGAATTTCATGGGCTTCAATTTGTTGGTTAGCCAGCCAGTCCAAAGTCCCAATTGGAACCCAGTGGAGATGCTGACTGAATCTACCATCTCAAGGACCACAGCATAAACATAGCTAGTCAAGCCACTCCTTCTTGACATTTCAAAGAATTGCATCTACTGTCTCATGGTACAAAAAGATTTCCTCTTATCAAGAGAGAGAATGGCAATAACATAGTAGGAATAAATTTCAAAGACATACGATTCATAGACATGCAAGTGAAGAAACTGCTATATTCCTCTGTGGACACCACTTAAGAAGCGGCAGAGTCAGGTGAATTTTTTGACTCCAACCATGACTTAGCAGCAGAATTTGTAGTCAAAAACCAGCCAACCTTATCTGGTGCCTCGTGGAATGGTGCCTTTAGTTCCTCCAAATGTGACTTTAACACAGTTGCTAACCCTTTGTCAGTGTACCTGTGTTTTCCATGTCCAGTATTGACTCCGAGCAATGGGGGAAGCTCCTCTCCAGACTCAAGTGCTTTTGACAAATCATTAATCCAAAGATGTAATGCAGTCAGAGCAGCACCATGGGAGAGACCCTTAAGATGCAAGGACCACTGGGTTGGAGACATAGACTCTATGCCAGTATAAATCTCATGTAAAAGGCCCAGCTGTAGCAGCTCACAAGCTCTCTCCAACAGATTTAGGTGGAAACAGAGGTCAATTAAACAATTGCAGTAAGCCTTCCTTACATCACAATCAATGGACTCAAACAGTTCAGATGCTTCCTTCTTAAAATCTGCTTCACCATTTTGCTTCTCCACCAAAAGTTTCACTACTCGACCAAGCTTTGGATTAGCCTTCTCAACACAAACAGAAAGCCTAGCAAATTCTTCCACTGGTGTCTGGGTCATCACATTCAGAAGACAGCCACAAAATCGATCATCTGGAGTTATACCCAGTTCCAAAAGTCGATTGAACGTCCTGATAACATCATCTGTCTTCTGCACTTTCCCATAGCATTGCATAAGTGATGTCAAAATAAAAATGGTAGGTTCAAGGCCTGCTTCCAGCATCTCATTCAGAATGCCCTCTGCCTCTGAAACTTTCCCACTACAAGAATATATGGTGATCATGGATGAAAATGTCCAACTGTCAGGCTTGCAAGTCCCAGATTTTTTCATGTCTTCAAAAATCTCACCAGCTTCATTAGCATAGCCAACATCAGCACACAAAGCCAAGAGTGTATTATACAAACTCACATTCAGTTCAAATCCCTTTTCCTTCATCTCTTGATACACCTTCAGAGCATCCTCACCGTATCGGCCTCTCCCATAAGCACGCAAGAGAGCTACATAGGTTCCCCAATTTGGAGAAAATCCATTGTTGGTCATTTCCCTGTAAATATTCTTGGCCTGCCAAGGCCTCTTTGCTCTTCCCATTGCATCCAACAAAGTATTATATATCGATAAGTTTGGCTTAACACCTAGAGCCTTAACTTCCTCATAAAGATTTAAACAGCCATCAAAGTGTCCAGACATCCCATATATTTTAATTAAGGTTGAAAAGGTCCCAGGATCAATACGCCATTTTTCTGTTCTTGCCCGGTCATACAAGCTCAATGCCATATCAACATTACCACTCCGCCCATAGGCATCAATCATAACAGCGCAAATCGTACCATCAGGATCACACCCGAAGCTAGGCATTTTCTCAAACCACTCAACAGCCTTATCAGGTAGAGAACATATCCTTGCACAGCTAATTAATGTTAAAAACGTGATGTTATCAGGCTTAACTCCTTTCTCAAGCATTTCATCAAACAGTTTCTCTGCTCTACCTAAATCCTTGCACTTCTTAAACACCTTCATTGTCACATTATACAGAATGACCTCTCTATCTGGGTTCAATATCTTTAGAAAATACTTAAGCGCAAGCAATGCAGTATCAGGGTTCGACATGTTATTAAGTATAACCACAGCATCTTGGTCGAAAATATTGCCACCAAAACCACTCAAAACGCCAACAACATCTTCCTCCTTTTCATTACATGAATTCAAAGACTCAGCGACTTTCACAAGAAAAGAGTACCTGGAATCATAAGATCTTTTTCTAAGCTTTGGCGCTATCGGGCTTTTGGAATTGACCCAGGTGGAGATTTTGGGAGGCAAACCCGTATTTCCATCTGGCTTCTGACGGCTTGCATCTTCTGTTAGGCCCTGCCTCTGGGTGTCTTGGGCAATTGGGTCTTGCAGCGAGACATGGTTTTTGAATTGACAGGAGAGGAAACCAGGCTTAACAGATTCAGGGAAGGCCGTTGACCTTGGTTTTTTTTGTAGAGAATAAGAAGAATTGCAAAAGAGGCGGCGGCCATGAAAGAGGGAAGAAGATGAAGAGCAGAGATTATACGCCATTTCTTATCTGTGTTTCTTGCTCAAAGGCAGCAACTTTGCCTGCACAGAGTGGCCTTATCAACAAGACAATACATACTCTCAGATTTTTTCAGTTGAATCTTCCGGGTAGGGCCAAGTCTAGTAACTTGGATTGGATCCTTGAATTCTGGGCTAAGTCAAATGAGCCGTATGTAAACGGGCCCAAGAAATTGAATTGGTGAACCTGCTTCTGGGTCCATATATTTGGTAATGAAAGAGTAATTGTCGGTAGAGGTCATTGGCTCTTACAATATAACACAGTTGACTTCCTGCATTTGATAACTTTACAATTAGGTTCTGAAAATCCTATCTTTCTGTTGTGACTTTTTAGACAATACCTCTTCAACTCGTAAATCAACTAGAAATTCAAATAACTACACTTGACAGCATTAAAAGGGCCGACTTAAGTGGAAAAATACTGTATTGAAAATTAATAAGTTTTGTAATAAAATTTTATTGAAGTTTAATTAAATTGTTAGCTTTTTTGTGTTTAATAAAAAGTTAAAATTAGAAAGGTTGAAAGAAAAATTATTTTTTTTAGTACCTCATAGATTTAACTACTTCACATCATAAAAATTTGAAATTTTAACTTTAACTTTAGATTAAAATTTTTAAATTAATAAGTACCAATTTAATAAAATTTTTATTAGTAAAAAATGTGATTATTGTGTAACATTACTAACATATGAGCAACCATATATATCCAAATCCAGCGTCCCTACCAATAATGCCTTCCATTTATTTTATTGCCATTTTCCTCTCTACCCAAGCTTTTACTTTCTCCATTAATTTCAATGTCTTATTGCAAGGATATATATACATATATATATTGAATTACATAATGAAAATTCACTTTCTTTTATCTTTTAACCCACCTCATTCATATATTATATTATTTGATTAAAGATCTATTACTTCGGTAAGAAGAAAATTAGCATTAAGCTAAACTTAGGTAGGTGGCATTGCGAGGCTTATCTTCTCAAGTGGAAAGACATTTTTTTGGCCAAAAAACCAGACAAGTGGAAACACATGAGACATCACTTTCTTTAATAATGCAATCCCTTTAAGTAACCTTTCCAACATCTGCCAAATTCCCTTTTCTTTTCATATATCCCAATCCTCACGCGCAATTGTCTTCGTGTGCCAGGCTACTTGTTTACTACGCCCACCGACAAACTCGTTTATTTTCATCAAGGCATCAATTTTTTTCTCTAAATCAAATTCGAAACCAAAATTCAAAACCCTAAAAACAGAGAGGTGGTTGCAACTTGTTAATATATACTAGTACAATTACGTTATATATAATTATTTGTCCAATTAATGATGGAATTAAGGTTCTGGAGACTTCGAAATGCCTTTTGAGTGGTTATCAATTAAGCAGTTGTGATGCATTGAAGCTTGACCAACCATACCTAATCTCCAAGCCAACATCATTTCCGTTTGGTGTCGACGATTTTGCTTTTTTTGGGTATATATCGAAAATCTCATCTTTTTCTCCACTTAATTTAATTCCCACCAAAAAGTGACGTGTTTAGATGATGCTTCTTTCTATGTATGATGTTATTGCATCAATCAAATGAGACGCCCTAATTTTTCAGATTCGAATCTTACAACTTCATGTGAAGTTCCTTAGCACAACTACTCTAGGTTTGCTAAGGAATGGTAAGCTAGTGAAATGTTAGATTCCTCAAGTTCTAAATGATAATAAAAATAAGAGTTCTGCTAGCTACACTTGTTTTATTAATTTTTTTTTTAAGTACTAAAAAAAATCGGTACTCAATTAATCGAAGGTTCGGTGCAGTCGGC